TTCTTCCGCTGGGTCACGTGGTTGCGTATGTCTGGTCTGGCCTGTTACCAAGCCAGTAAGGGCATGGGACGGTTGCAAGCATCATCGGTCATCGGCGCTCGCGAATGAAGAGCGCCTGCTGCACTTCCTGCACATGTGCGGATCCTTCCGCGTTCTGGGGGTGAAAGCACTCGTTACGAGCTTTTTTCTTCCGCCGGGTCATGTGGCTGCGCTTGTCTGGGCCTGTTACCAAGCCAGCAAGGGCGTGGGAGGGTTGCGCGCATCATCGCTCATCCGGGCTTGCGAATGAAGAGCGCCCGCTGCACTTCCTGCACATGTGCGGATCCTTCCGCGTTTTGGGGTTGGAATCACTCGTTCCGAGCTTTCTTCTTCCGCCGGGTCACGTGGCTGCGCTTGTCTGGGCCTATTACCAAGCCAGCAACGGCGTGGGAGGGTTGCGAGCATCATCGGTCATCGGCACTCGCGAATGAAGAGCGCGCGCTGCACTTCCTGCACATGTTCGGATCCTTCCGCGTTTTGGGGGTGGAAGCGCTCGTTCCGAGTGTGTTTCTTCTGCCGGGTCACGTGGCTGCGCTTTTCTGGGCCTACTACCAAGCCAGCAAGGGCGTGGGAGGGTTGCGAGCATCATCGGTCATCAGCACTCGCGAATGAAGAGCGCCCGCTGCACTTCCTGCACATGTGCGGATCCTTCCGCGTTTTGGTGGTGGAAGCGCTCGTTAGGAGCTTTTTTCTTCCGCCGGGTCATGTGGCTGCGCTTGTCTGGGCCTATTACCAAGCCAACAAGGGCGTGGGAGGGTTGCGAGCATCATCGGTCATCAGAGCTCGCGAATGAAGAGCGCCCGCTGCACTTCCTGCACATGTGCGGATCCTTCCACGTTTGTGGGTAGAAGCGCTTGTTCCGAGCGTTTTTCTTCCACCAAGTTACGTGGTTGTGTATGTATGGTCTGGGCCTGTTACCAAGCCAGCAAGGGCGTGGGAGGGTTGCGAGCATCATCGGTCATCGGCGCTCGCGAATGAAGAATGCCCGCTGCACTTCCTGCACATGTGCTGATCCTTCCGCGTTTTGGGGGTGCAAGCGCTCGTTCCGAGCGTTTTTCTTCCGCCGGGTTACGTGGCTGCGCTTGTCTGGGCCTGTTACCAAGCCAGCAAGGGCGTGGGAGGGTTGCGAGCATCATCGGTCATCGGCGCTCGCGAATGAAGAGTGTCGGCTGCACTTCCTGCACATGTGCGGATCCTTCCGCGTTTTGGAGGTGAAAGTGCTCGTTCCGAGCGTTTTTCTTCCGCCGGGTCACGTGGCTGTGCTTGTCTGGGCCTTTTACCAAGCCAACAAGGGCGTGGGAGGGTTGCGGGCATCATCGGGCATCGGCGCTCGCGAATGAAGAGCGCCTGCTGCACTTCCTGCACGTGTGCGGATCCTTCTGCGTTTTGGGGGTGGAAGCGCTCGTTCCGAGCGATTTTCTTCCGCCGGGTCACGTGGCTGCGCTTCTCTGGGCCTATTACCAAGCCAGCAAGGGCGTGGGAGGGTTGCGAGCATCATCGGTCATCGGCGCTCGCGAATGAAGAACGCCCGCTGCACTTCCTGCACATGTGCGGATCCTTCCGCGTTTTGGGGGTGGAAGCGCTCGTTCCGAGCTTTTTTCTTCCGCCGGGTCATGTGGCTGCGCTTGTCTGGGCCTCTTACCAAGCCAGCAAGGGCGTGGGAGGGTTGCGAGCATCATCGGTCATCGGCGCTCGCGATTGAAGAGCTCCCGCTGCACTTCCTGCACATGTGCGGATCCTTCCGCGGTCACGTGGCTGCGCTTGTCTGGTCCTATTACCAGTCAGCAAGGGCGTGGAAGGGTTGCGAGCATCATCGGTCATTGGCGCTCGCGAATGAATAGCGCCCGCTGCACTTCCTGAACATGTGCGGATCCTTCCGCGTTTTGGGGGTGGCAGCGCTCGTTCCGAGCGTTTTTCTTCCGCCGGATCACGTGGCTTCGCTTGTCTGGGCCTATTACCAAGCCAGCAAGGGAGTGGGAGGGTTGCGAGCATCATCGGTCATCGGCGCTCGCGAATGAATAGCGCCCGCTGCACTTCCTGCACATGTGCGGATCCATCCGCGTTTTAGGGGTGGAAGCGCTCGTTCCGAGCGTTTTTCTTCCGCCGGGTCACGTGGCTGCGCTTGTCAGGGCCTATTACCAAGCCAGCAATGGCGTGGAAGGGTTGCGAGCGTCATCGGTCATCAGCGCTCGCGAATGAAGAGCGCCCGCTGCACTTCCTGCACATGTGCGGATCCTTCCGCGTTTTGGGGCTGGAAGCGCTCGTTCCGAGCGTTTTTCTTCCGCCGGGTCACGTAGCTGCGCTTGTCTGGGCCTATTACCAAGCCAGCTAGGGCGTGGGAGGGTTGTGAGCATCATCACTCATCGGCGCTCGCGAATGAAGAGCGCCCGCTGCACTTCCTGCGCATGTGCGGATCCTTCCGCGTTTTGGGGGAGGAAGCGCTCGTTCCGAGCGTCTTTCCTCCGCCGGGTCATGTGGCTGCGCTTGTCTGGGCCTACTACCAGGCCAGCAAGGGCATGGGAGCGTTGCGAGCATCATCGGTCATCGGCGCTCGCGAATGAAGAACGCCCGCTGCACTTCCTGCACATGTGCGGATCCTTCCGCGTTTTGGGGGTGGAAGCGCTCGTTCCGAGCTTTTTTCTTCCGCCGGGTCATGTGGCTGCGCTTGTCTGGGCCTCTTACCAAGCCAGCAAGGGCGTGGGAGGGTTGCGAGCATCATCGGTCATCGGCGCTCGCGATTGAAGAGCTCCCGCTGCACTTCCTGCACATGTGCGGATCCTTCCGCGGTCACGTGGCTGCGCTTGTCTGGTCCTATTACCAGTCAGCAAGGGCGTGGAAGGGTTGCGAGCATCATCGGTCATTGGCGCTCGCGAATGAATAGCGCCCGCTGCACTTCCTGAACATGTGCGGATCCTTCCGCGTTTTGGGGGTGGCAGCGCTCGTTCCGAGCGTTTTTCTTCCGCCGGATCACGTGGCTTCGCTTGTCTGGGCCTATTTGTCAGATTTATATGACATAGCTACTGTAGGCTAGAGTGGGGTAGCACATATGGGGTACAGTTTTCTAGGGTTTGCTTCTTGTACCCAACTTTCACTTAGTCATTCTCATTCCTGTTTTTCTTAATTCACATGGTATAGAGCGGGTTCCTACATGGGACCATTCCTTCCTAAGGGCCCACCATAAGAATTTTTTTTTAGCTGCCCGCGCACATTGCGCCCTGCCCTAAAAAATTTTTTTAGCGGCCCCTACGCTGCCTCTACGCGGCCCCTACGCCGCCTCCCACGCGCCCCCTATGCGGCCCCTGGCGACGCCCTGACGAGGCCCCTGCCGGCGCCCTATCGCGGCCCCTGACGCGCCCCCTGGTGGCGCCCTGACGCGGCCCCTGGCGGCGCCTGACGCGGCCCTGACGCGACCTGACGCGGCCCCTGGCGGCGCCCTGACGCAGCCCCTGCCGCGGCCCTGACGCGGCCCTGCCGCGGCCCCTGATGCGGCCCTGACGCGGCCTGCCGCGGCCCCTGCCGCGGCCCTGAAGCGGCCCCTGACGCGGCCCTGACGCGGCCCTGACGCGGCCCTGCCGCGGCCCCTGGCGGCGCCCTGACGCGGCCCCTGACGCGGCGCCCTGACGCGGCCCCTGCCGCGGCCCTGACGCGGCCCTGCCGAGGCCCCTGACGCGGTCCTGACGCGGCCTGCTGCGGCCCCTGCCGCGGCCCTGAAGCGGCCCCTGACGCGGCCCTGAAGCGGCTCTGCCGCGGCCCTGACGCGGCCCTGGCGCGACCCCTGACGCGGCCCCTGCCGCGGCCCCTTACGCGGCCCTGACGCGGTCCTGCCGCGGCCCCTGGCGGCGCCCTGACGCGGCCCCTGACGCGGCGCCCTGACGCGGCCCTGCCGCGGCCCCTGACGCGGCCCCTGCCGCGGCCCCTGACGCGGCCCCTGACGCGGCCCCTGTCGCGGCCCCTGTCGCGGCCCCTGACGCGGCCCCGCCGCCTCCTCTCAGCGGCCCCGCCGCCTCCTCTCAGCGGCCCCGCCGCCTCCTCCCAGCGGCCCCGGACGCCGCCCTCTCAGCGGCCCCGCCGAGCCGCCCAACAGCCTAGCCGCCCAGCAGCTGAGCCACCGAGCCGCCCAGCAGCCGAGCCGCCGAGCCGCCCAGCAGCCGAGCCGCCCAGCAGCAGAGCCGCCGAGCCGCCCAGCAGCCGAGTCGCTGAGCCGCCCAGCAGCCGAGCCGCCGAGCCGCCCAGCAGCCGAGCCGCCCAGCAGCCGAGTCGCCGAGCCGCCCTGCAGCCGAGCCGCCCGAGCCGCCCTGTCCGGTAAGAGCAGCGCCTCTCTCACAGCACTGCCCTCACCCCACTGTTTGCGCTGCTAGTCTACTACTGTCATGGCTACCCCTAGTGTCCTCGCTTTTGACGCTGAGGGTCGGGCCATTGACTTTGACGTCTGGATAGATGACCTGCAGCTTTTCTTACAGTGCGATAGGGCAGACGGCCTCTCCCTCTTTGACCTCACTTCTGGTGCCTCTCCTGCTCCCGCCACTGATGCTGACGCAACTGTTCGCTCCCAGTGGGCCACGCGCGATGCTGCTGCACGTCTTGCTGTGCGTCGCCACCTGCCTACCTCTGAGCGTGCGCACTTTAGCCAGTACAAGAGTGCTCAGACCTTGTACTACGCTGTAGTTGCACGCTACTCCTCCCCTGCCACTGCTGCACTGAGCCGCCTCATGCTACCGTACCTCTTCCCTGACCTTGCTGCCTTTCCCACAGTCGCTGACCTCATCACGCACCTCCGCACTAGTGACACTCGCTACCGCGCTGCGCTTCCTGCTGAGTTCTGTGCCAAGAACCCCCCCCCCATGTACATCACCCTCTACTACATCGTCACCCGTCTCCCTGACTCCCTTCGCGTAGTCAGGGACCACTTCCTCTCGGTTTGTCCCACCACTCTCACCGTTGACCTCCTCGAGAAGGCCCTCCTAGCAGCAGAAAAGAGCATAGTCGCTGTAGGAGCCTCTCGTGGTGACCCTCGCACCCCCATCTTTGAGGGGTGTTCCCCCTCCCCTCTTTTGCCCTCTGTTGCCTCTGCTGCTGCGGCCGACCTTGCTGGTTTGGAGTCGGTTGGGGCAGCGTCTACCCCTAGCGGGAGACGCCGCCCTGGCAGGGGCAAGGGGGGCAGGGGCGCTGGAGGAGCTAGCGGGGGCGGTGGAGGCGGCGGTGGAGGTGGTGGAGGAGGTGGTGGTGGCGGTGGGAGTGGTGGCGGGGGTGGAGGTGTAGGTGGCGGCAGTGGAGGCGCAGGAGGCAGCGGCGGTGGCGGAGGGAGCGGAGGTGGCGGCGGTGGAGGAGGAGGCGGCGGAGGAGGTGGAGCTGGTAGGGGTGGCGCTGCGCAGAGGGTCAGCTCCGGTGGTGGTCAGCGCCAGCAGCAGCAGCAGCAGCAGCAGCGCACTCGTGACGTCCCCTCCCCTCAGCAGCTCCGTGAGTGGTACACTGCACGCTAGAGGGGTGGGGGTGCTGGTCCGTGCACCTACGTCCTGCGCACCGGCGACCGCGCGGGTGAGCAGTGCGGGGGTGCGCACTCCACCCAGCGCTGCTTTGGCCGCCTCACGGACGCTTGGCGTCACCAGTTCCCTGAGGCCACTGAGATCCCCCGCTGGGGTGAGCTGTCTAGGGCGGGTGTAGCTGTCTTTGACCTTGACTTTGATGCTATTCTTGCTGCCGTGTATACTGTGACTATTAGTGATGAGGGTGACTGTTACCGGTGTTTTCCGCCCGACCCGGGCATTGAGACTGCTGCTCTAGGTACTGGTGAGGCTGCTGCTCTAGGTGCTAGCGAGGCTGCTGCTCTAGGTGCGTCTACTCCCTCAGGTGCTGGTGAGTCTGCTCTCTCAGGTTCTGCGTCGGCTTCGGCCTCCCACACCTTCACACTTGACTCGGGGGCTTCTCGCTCCTTCTTTCGAGACCGCACCACACTCACGCCGCTTGGCCGGCCAGTTGCGGTCTCCCTGGCAGACCCCTCTGGGGGTCCTGTCCTTGCTCACTTCTCCACTGTCCTCCCGTGTCCGGCGGCCCCCTCTGGCACCCTGTCTGGTCTCTACCTCCCCTCGTTCTCTACGAACTTGGTGAGTGGTGCTGACCTACAGGATGCGGGGGTTCACCAGTTCACTCCTGCGAGTCAGCGGGTGACCCACTGCACGGACGCTCGGACAGGCCGCCACCTGGCCACGTTTACACGTCGGCCAGGGTCGAGCCTGTACACACTGACCACTGCGTCTCCTCCAGTCCCTGCGTCTGGTCAGGTAGCTGCGTCGGGTCAGGTGTTTGCTGCAGCGTCCAGGTCTGGTCCTGAGTCTGCCCCCTGCTCGTGTCGCCTCCTGTCTCACGAGACTCTCCTCTGGCACCACCGCCTTGGCCACCCCTCCCTGCTTCGTCTCCGGAACATGGCCTCCCGTGTCCTTGTCTCTGGTCTTCCCCGGTCCCTCCCTCCCCTTCCTCCGGGGCCAGGCCCTACCTGCGTCCCCTGTGTCGAGGGACGGTAGCGGGCTACCCCTCACTCCTCCCAGTTTCCTCCGACAGAGGCCCCGCTGCAGACGCTTCACATGGACGTGTGGGGCCCGGCCCGCGTCCGTGGACAGGGTCACGAGCGCTACTTCCTGCTGGTGGTTGACGACTACTCGCGTTACACTACAGTCTTCCCCTTGCGCAGCAAGGGTGATGTCACTGAGGTGTTGATCGACTGGATCCGCGCAGCTCGTCTCCAGCTCAGGCGGAGCTTTGGCTCGGACTTTCCTGTTCTGCGTCTGCACTCTGACAGAGGCGGAGAGTTCTCCTCTGGCCTTCTGCGAGCCTACTGTCGTGCACGAGGCATCCGCCAGACCTTCACGCTTCCGGACTCTCCACAGCAAAATGGGATTGCTGAGCGCCGCATTGGCATGGTCATGGACGTCGCCCGTACGTCCATGATGCATGCGGCTGCCCCCCATTTTCTGTGGCCGTTTGCGGTTCGGTACGCGGCGCATCAGATCAACCTTCAGCCCAGGGTCTCCATGCCGGAGACCTCCCCAGCTTTGCTGTGGACGGGGAAGGTTGGCGATGCGTCTGCGTTCCGTGTCTGGGGATCTCGGGCGTTTGTCCGCGACTTGTCTGCGGACAAGCTGTCCCCTCGTGCTGCTCCTTGCGTCTTCCTGGGTTTCCCCCCTGACGCCCCAGGGTGGCAGTTCTACCACCCCACCTCTCGCCGTGTTCTGTCCTCCCAGGACGTCACGTTCGACGAGTCGGTCCCCTACTACCGCCTCTTCCCCTACCGCACTCCGTCCCTCCCCCCGCCACCGCTCTTCCTTGTACCAGGTCCCCCCCCGGTAGACCCCCTCCCCCCTCAGGGTCCTGCCCCTTCAGGTGTGTCCCAGGTAGACGCTGTTGAGCCTGTCGAGGTCGCTGGTGACTCTGGTGCTGCTGAGGGTGCTGAGCCTGGGGGTGCTGACTCTAGGGGTGCTGAGCGTGTGGGTGCTACGCCTGGGGGTGCTGAGCCTGGGGGTGCTGAGCCTGGGGGTGCTGAGTCTGGGGGTACTACGACTGGGGGTGCTGAGCCTGGGGGTACTACGCCTGGAGGTGCTGAGCCTGGGGGTGCTGCGTCTGGGGGTGCTGAGCCTGGGGGTACTACGCCTGGAGGTGCTGAGCCTGGGGGTGCTACGCCTGGTGGTGCTGTGCCTGGCGGTTCACCGGGTGCTCCCTCTCGCCGAGAGCCACTCTCTCCCCAGGAGCTGCGTGAGTGGTTTGCCCGGCGCTGGAGGCGAGCTGCTGGAGCTGCTGGAGCTGGAGGTGCTGCGGGTACTGGAGGTTCTGTTGCTTCTGAGGGAGCTGGTGCCACGGGTCCCGGAGGTGCTCGTACTGGGAGTTCTGGAGCTGCTGGACCTGCGGGTACTTCTGGAGCTGGAGTTGCTGCGGGTGTTGGCGCGGAGGCTACTGCTGTCGGTCCTGGAGGCAGTCCTGCTGGGGGTACTACTGGTGCTGCTGGGGGTTCTGGAGCTGGAGCTGCTACTGGTGCTGGTGCTGCCCCTGCGGGTGCTGGTGCTGTCCCTCCTGTGTCTGGAGTCGCCGCGCGGCCTCGGCCGTACTTCGTTCCGCTCCTTCAGCAGGTTCTTGGTCTCCCGCCTTCTACTGGTCCTCCTCCTCCCTTAGAGTGTCCACAGCCTGTCCCGTCGCAGTTACAGTTACAGCCGGCCTCCCCACTGCCTGCTCCGTCTCCCTACACTGGTCCTACTGGAGGTCTTGCTGAGCGTCGTGAGCCTGCGTCTCGCCCTGCGTCGCCTGTCCGTGCTGCTCGCACTAGTGGTCGCGGTTCGCGTCAGCGTCCTCCTCCTGTCCCTGGCACGCACCGGATGTCTCTGCGTCCGTCCACTGCTCCTCTGCGTGCCCCTTTGCCTTCTCCTCCTGAGTCTTCTCTTCCTACTCTTGCCGACCCGGAGTCGGACTCTCTTCGCGCTGCCAGTCCTACTGTCACGCGTCTCCTTGCTACGGTTGTCACTGACCCTTCCTTTGAGTCCACTGCTGCGTCTGCTCTAGTTGCTGAGCTCGTCGACTTTGCTGCTCGCTGTCGCCTAGACTACGTCGCCAGTCTTGTTGCTGAGTCTGAGTCTGTCTGTCCTCCGTCCGTCGGGGGTGAGTGTGCCCTTGGCACGGACGTCCTTGAGGACAGGCAGGAGGAGTTCCAGTGCTTGGCCGCTGCTTCACCTCATCTCGTGTCCGTACTGCTTACCCCTGAGGGAGACCCGGATGCACTTGACATCCCGACTCCGCGCTCTTACGCGGAGGCGATAGAGGGTCCCTACTCCTCTCAGTGGCAGGCAGCTATGGATGCAGAGATGGCTTCCTGGAAGTCCACAGGCACCTACGTTGACGCTGTTCCCCCTCCTGGGGCGAACATCGTCAGTGGCATGTGGATTTTCAGGGTGAAGCGACCGCCGGGTTCTCCGCCTGTCTTCAAGGCGCGTTACGTGGCTCGTGGCTTCAGTCAGCGGCAGGGAGTTGACTACTTTCAGACCTTCTCTCCCACCCCGAAGATGACCACTCTTCGGGTACTGCTGCACGTAGCTGCTCACCGTGACTACGAGCTACACTCTCTTGACTTCAGCACTGCTTTCTTGCAGGGCAGCCTGCACGAGGAGATCTGGCTGCGTCGCCCACCTGGCTTCACTGGGTCTTTTCCTCCTGGCACCCAGTGGAGCCTACGGCGGCCAGTCTACGGTCTCCGCCAGGCACCGCGTGAGTGGCACGACACACTGAGGACTACACTTGCGGCTCTTGGGTTTGCTCCCTCTACTGCCGACCCGTCGTTGTTTCTGCGCACCGACACTTCTTTGCCGCCGTTCTACATCCTCGTGTACGTCGACGACTTGGTCTTTGCCACAGCTGACACTGCTGGACTAGCCCACGTGAAGTCCGAGCTGCAGAAGAGACACACGTGCACTGACCTGGGTGAACTGCGCAGCTACCTTGGCTTGCAGATCACTCGGGACAGAGCACGCCGCACCATTACCCTGACTCAGTCACACATGGTGCAGCAGGTCCTTCAGCGCTTCGGCTTCACGTACTCCTCGCCTCAGGCCACTCCTCTGCCTACTCGCCACTCGCTCTCAGCTCTGCCTTCGGATGAGTCCGTAGAGTCGAGTGGCCCGTACCCAGAGCTTGTTGGCTGCCTCATGTACCTGATGACCTGCACACGACCTGACCTTGCATACCCTCTTAGCATTCTTGCACGCTATGTTGCTCCTGGGAGACACAGACCGGAGCACATGGCTGCAGCGAAGAGGGTGTTGCGCTACTTGTGCAGTACGTCGGGCATGGGGCTTGTGCTTGGAGGGCAGAGTCCAGTGGTCCTTACTGGGCACGCAGACGCTTCTTGGGCTGACGACCAGGCTACGCAGCGGTCGTCACAGGGTTACACCTTCAGCCTTGGTTCCGGCTCTGTTTCGTGGCGGGCTACTCGCTCGTCTTCTGTTCTCGGCTCCAGTTGTGAGGCTGAGATCTACGCAGGAGCCATGGCTGCACAGGAGCTTCGCTGGCTCACCTACCTGCTGACTGACCTCGGAGAGTTGCCTCGTTCTCCTCCAGTGCTGTACGTAGACAACAAGGCCATGCTGGCCTTGTGTCGGGAGCAGCGACTGGAGCACAGAACGAAGCACATTGCTCTCCGCTATTTTCTTGCTCGTGAGCTGCAGCAGCGTGGTCAGCTGCGTCTTGCGTACGTGGCCTCTGAGGCCAACACTGCTGATATCTTCACCAAGGCACTTGCGCCTTGTGACCATCAGCGCTTCTGTACTCAGCTGGGCCTTGTGCCTACCTTGCCTCACTTGCTCACCTCTTGACCTTGCTTGTACTGTTACATATATATATACCTGCTCTTGTTTGTCTAGCCTTTTTTTATATATATGTGTACTCCTGCTTGTGAACTGGCCTTGTGGCCTTGAACTTGTGCTCGGAATGTGTGGTGACTTTGTGATCCACCCTGAGCTTGTTTTTTGCTTTGCTTTGCTTGACTGGTCTTGTGACCCCTTGTTCTCCCCCACTTTGCCTATGGGGGTGTGTCAGATTTATATGACATAGCTACTGTAGGCTAGAGTGGGGTAGCACATATGGGGTACAGTTTTCTAGGGTTTGCTTCTTGTACCCAACTTTCACTTAGTCATTCTCAATCCTGTTTTTCTTAATTCACACTATTACCAAGCCAGCAAGGGCGTGGGAGGGTTGCGAGCATCATCGGTCATCGGCGCTCGCGAATGAAGAACG